ATGATATATTTATAAATATATCATATAAATATATACTTATATAAAATTATATATTTATATATTTATATTAAATATATGTTTATACTTATATATATTTATATTAAATATTTATATTTATAATATATTTGTATTAAATATATATTTATATATTTATAAATATAAATATAATTAAAATATTTATAATTGTCTTTAAATATATATCTTTAAATATATTTATAATATATTTACAATATGTATTTTATGTATTTTATATATAAATATATTAAATATTTGGATTTATATATAAATATATTAAATATCTATTTAGATTATTCTTTAAATGTATATTTAAATATATATGTTTAAAGATCTCCCATATATATTTATATATATCATATATATATGTCAAAGTTTGAAGACCACTCTTCAGTTGTTTAAATTGAGAAGGTAGTTTGATCCCAGGAGCTCAAGGTTACAGTGAGCTATGATTGTACCACTGCACTCCAGCCTGTGTGACAGAGAGAGACCCTGTCTCTTAAAAAAAATAATTAATGAAAGCATAAACTTGAATTCTTATGGTACTACATTGCAAATTACCATATCTCACAGACCAAAAATTAACAGCCCTCTAAAAGATGAAGCATTTTCTTTCTATGTGAGCGTTCCTGTATCTGGAATCTCATCCTTCACATATGCCTTTGTTTGCAGTGTTTTCTGAAGATCAAACCCATGTCTCTCACATTTTCTCAAGCAAGTGATATCTGTAACTCATATGGTGGTACCCTTCCTTCAGTGTTGAGCCAGACTGAACAAGGTACTATAATTATTTGGGAAACATGTTTTATTCTGATCTGGGACCAGATTGGTTTTAGGAGGCTATGGGAATAACATACAAAATTATTATTAAACTTTTTAATGGAACAGATAAAAGACTATCTTGATAGTTAGATAAGCAAAAGATATTCATTGACATTTTTAGTATATCTTTAATTTGAATAGATCAAATGCTTTTTAAAAATCTCTTTCTAACAGATTTTATTACATCCTTGCTTCCGGAAATGGAAGCTACTTTATGGATTGGTTTGCGCTGGACTGCCTATGAAAGGATAAACAAATGGACAGATAACAGAGAGCTGACATACAGTAACTTTCACCCATTACTGGTTAGTAGGAGGCTGAGATTACCAGAAAACGTAAGTTTTTTTTTTTAATCAGTATTCTTCATACCTCTGTGAAATATTTGTCTTTCATACATAAGAGCAAAGGCCTACTGTATTCCGTTTACATGAAATGTGTAGAATAGGCACATCTAAGATAGTAAGTGGGTTATTGGTTGCTAGAGGCTAAGAAGGATGGAGGGATTGGGAGTAGTAACTAAAGGGGATGGAGTCTTCTTTTGTGGGATGACAAAGATGTTCTAAGATTTATGGGGTGATGGTTGTGTAACTCTGTGAATATACTAAAAACTATTGAATAGTTACTTTAAATGAGCAAATTGTCTCATATATGAATTATAGCTCAGTAAAGCTATTACAAGAACAACAGGTGCCTCCCCACCCTTCTGGTGGATGCACTGGTTTTCCACAGTAGCATCAGATTCCATAGCACTTCTTTCATAACCATGTAAAACCATCAAGTAGTAAGTTGTAAACAGAAGCAAATACAGGTGTTTTGCTTTACATTTTGGGACTTTGGGCTCTCAGCCTGAGTCTGTTGAGGTAAAAAGTATAAAATTGGCAACTGGTGATCACTTTTCTCCAAGACCTAAATATAAAGAAGTCAGAGAAGGGAAAAGAGCATGATATCGACAGTAGTTATGCTGACACCACAGTATTACCGCCTACTGCTTCTGTTCTCTATACTTTCTGGATGCAGATCACCTTTTGCACAAAGGGCAAAGATTTAGAAATTAACATAAAAGTCTAATTCCGAAAGTATGTCTTAGACAGTAATCAACTAATGTTCCTGACATAATGTTACTTTGCTCAAAGTTAATGTTGGTAGCAAAGGAAATTCTGAATCATGAGTAACTATGTACAACATAAATACCAAATTATTACTTGGTTATAGAAGATGTGGAAGTTAGAGTAGACACAGCAATGAAAAATGTCAACCCAACAAAAGAAAGGATATCAGGGATTGAAGATCAACTCAATGAAATAAAGCGAGAAGACAAGATTAGAGAAAAAAGAGTGAAAAGAAATGAACAAAGCCTCCACTAAATACAGGATTACGTGAAAAGTTGTACTACATTTAATTGATGTACCTGAAAGTGAAGGGGAGAGTGAAACCAAGCTGGAAAACATTCTTCAGGATACTATCCAGGAAAACTTCCCCAACCTAGCAAGGCAGGCCAACATTCAAATTCAGGAAATACAGAGAACACCACAAACATGCTCCTCAAGACGAGCAACCCCAAGACACATAATCATCAGATTCACCAAGGTTGAAATGAAGGAAAAAATGCTAAAGGCAGCCAGAGAGAACACTCGGGTTACCTGCAAAGGGAAACCCATCAGACTAACAGTGGCTCTCTCAGCAGAAACCCTCAAAGTCAGAAGTGAGTGGGGGCCAATATTCAACATTCTTAAAGAAAAGAATTTTTAACCCAGAATTTCACATTCAGTCAAACTAAGCTTCATAAGCAGAGGAGAAATAAAATCCTTTACGGACAAGCAAATGCTGAGAGATATTGTCACCACCAGGCCTGCCCTACAGAAGCTCCTGAAGGAAGCACTAGAGATGGAAAGGAACAACCAGTACCAGCCACTGCAAAAACATACCAAATTGTAAAGACCATCAACAGTAGGAAGAAACTGCATCAACTAACAAGCAAAATAACCAGCTAGCATCATAAAGGCAGGATCAAATTCACACATAATAATATTAATCTTAAATGTAAATGAGCTAAATGCCCCAATTAAAATACATAGACTGGCAAATTGGATCAAGACCCATCAGTGTGCTGTATTCAGGAGACCCATCTCACGTGCAAAGACACACATAGGCACAAAATAAAGAAATGGAGGAAGATTTACCAAGCAAATGGAAAGCAAAAAAAAAGCAGGGGTCTCAATCCTAGTCTCTGATAAAACAGAGTTTAAACCATCAAAGATCAGAAGAGACAAAGAAGGGCATTACATAATGGTAAAGGGATCAATGCAACAAGAAAAGCTAACTATTTTAAATATATATGCACCCTATGCAGGAGCACCCAGATTCATAAAGCAAGTTCTTAGAGGCTTAGACTCCCACAAAATAATAGTGGGAGACTTTAAATTTAACCCCACTGTCAGTATTAGACAGATCAATGAGACAGAAAATTAACAAGAATATTCAGGACTTGAACTCAGCTCTGGACCAAGTGGACCTAATAGACATCTACAGAACCCTCCACCTCAAATCAGCAGAATATACATTCTTCTCGGCACCACATCGCACCTATTCTAAAACTGACCACATAATTGGAAGTAAAATAATCCTCAGCAAATGCAAAAGAGTGGAAAGCATAACAAACAGTCTCTCAGACCACAGTGCAATCAAATTAGAACTCATGATTAAGAAACTCACTCAAAACCACTCAACTACAGAGAGACTGAACAACCTGCTCCTAAATGACTACTGGATAAATAACAAAATAAAGACGTTCTTTGAAAACAATGAGAATGAAGACACAATGTCCCAGAATCTCTGGGACACACTTAAAGCAGTGTGTAGAGGGAAATTTATAGCACTAAATGCCCAACAAAGCAGGGAAGATCTAAAATTGACACCCTAATGTCACAATTAAAAGAACTAGAAAAGCAAGAACAAACAAATTCAAAAGCCAGCAGAAGATCAGAGCAGAACTGAAGGAGATAGAGACACAAAAAACCCTTAAAAAAAATCAATGAATCCAGGAGCTTGTTTTTTGAAAAGATCAACAAAATATATAAACTGCTAGCCAGACTAATAAGAAAAAAGGGAAGAATCAAATAGATGCAATAAAAAATGATAAAGGCAGTATCACCCTCAATCCCATAGAAATACAAACTACCATCAGAGAATACTATAAACACCTCTATGCAAATAAGCCAGAACATCTAGAAGAAATGGATAAATTCCTGGACACTTATACCCTCCCAAGACTAAACAAGGAAGAAGTCGAATCCCTGAATAGACTAAAAACAAGATCTGAAATTGAGGCAGCAATGAATAGCCTACCAACCAAAAAAGTCCAAGACCAGACGATTTCATAGCCAAATTCTACCAGAGGTACAAAGAGGAGCTGGTACCATTCCTTCTGAAATGATTCCAAACAATAGAAAAAGAGGGAATCCTCCCTAACTCATTTTATGAGGCCAGTACCATCCTGATAACCAAAATCTGGCAGACAGAAAACTAAAAAAGAAAATTTCAGGCCAATATCCCTGATGAACATCAATGTGAAAATCCTCAATAAAACACTGGCAAACATAATCCAACAGCACATCAAGAAGCTTATCCACAATCAAGTCAGCTTCATCCCTGGGATACAAGGCTAGTTCAACATACACAAATCAATAAACATATTTCATGACATAAACAGAAACAAAGACAAAAATTACATGATTACCTCAATAGATGCAGAGAAGGCCTTCAACAAAATTCAACAACACTTCATGATAAAAACTCTCAATAAACTAGGTATCAATGGAACATATCTCAAAATAATAAGAACTATTTATGACAAACCCACAGCCAATATCATACTGAATGGGCAAAAACTGGAAGCATTCTCTTTGAAAACTGACACAGGCAAGGATGCTCTCTCTCTCACCACTCCTATTCAACACAGTATTGGAAGTTCTGGCCAGGACAATCAGGCAAGAGAAAGAAATAAAGGGTATCCAAATAGGTAAAGAGGAAGTCAAATTGTCTCTATTTGCAGACAGCATGATTGTATGTTTAGAAGACTCCATCATCTCAATCCAAAATCTCCTTAAGCTGATAAGCAATTTCAGCAGTCTTAGGATACAAAATCAATATGCACAAAACACAAGCCTTTCTATACACCAATAACAGACAAACAGAGAGCCAAATCATAAGAAAACTCCCATCATAATTGCTACAAAGAGAATAAAATACCTAAGAATACAACTTACAAGGGATGTGAAGGACCTCTTCAAGGAGAATTACAAACCACTGCTCAAGGAAATCAGAGAGGATAAAACAAATGGAAAACATTCCATGCTCATGGATAGGAAGAATCAATATCATGAAAATGGCCATATTGCCCATAGTAATCTATAGATTCCCCATCAGGCTGCCATTGACTTTCTTCACAGAATTGGAAAAAAATACCTTAAATTTCATATGGAACCAAAAAACAGCCCACATAGCCAAGACAATTCTAAGCAAAAA